GGGGGATGAGAAAGAGTCGATGTGAATGACGGCCGGTCAGTTCTATAAACCACGAACCGCCGATTATAAATACCATGATAAAGCAATGCGGCGAAAAGCGTGCGAGCTCACGAAACTCCCGGGGGAATGTCTGTGCGTCTACCGACGGTCAACCGCTGTCCTACTTCCTTAGCGCGCACCTGGTGCGGTTAGTGCAGCTCGTTGTTCCATTGTTAGAAGCCATTAAAACCTTTAAAAATGTTGGTTTGAAAGTGAAGGCTTGCGTGTGACCAAGGCCCATACAATCAGACGGTTTTAGAACACTAATCAGTCTCACCCCCGAAAAGCCTTTTTTTTCACCACGAGAGTGATAAAATCACAATACTTTTTTATCCTCCACACTCAATTAAGAATTAGAAACAATTTGTTGATCTACCACAATTTCTGTGGGCCTACTCATCATGATGATACTGCGAGCTGGGCAGTTATTCAAAATTTCTATGGAAAAGACAATGCATTAGGTTTATTTGGGGTGGCACCCAAGTTAACCAACTGTGCGTCAAGTTTTTGACGACAATTAAGGGTTTGTTTGGCTGTGCACGTACTTAGGGGCAGTGTATCAAAAGCAATTAAATTGGGACACTATATGTATCTCTGAATTAATCCTTTGTATGACATCGCTATATCTGATTTCTGTAATGACTTTGATGATCTTTTCAACGTTTTCATTTGGTCACTTGTGTCATTCTCTGTCGAATATCGTAACCCAGTCACAACTACATCACAGCACCATGAATTTTTGCGGCCGACACTTCGGTGGTTGTAAGATAATTCTTGAAGTTTGGCCTTGAAGACAAAAAGAAAGTTGCAAAAGCATTAATATGAGTCAGTGAGTGGGTCCACAACATCACAGCTTTGCAAGGTACCTTGTGGCAGACATTGTGAGCTGCAATGGGGGATTACTTACAGTGATATCAAGATGAACTTGAACATCTGTTCTCAGTCACCATGAGAGGAAAATGTGGACATATCTTGACAATCCACCCCCCCTACCCCAACAACAGTTACATTTTCGTTTGAAGAGACAGATAATGGCCGACAAAATTATGATCGCATCGCCTTCAAGCAGTTGCAGGGATGTAGTGTATAGCTTTTTGATAAATCAAAATCTAACGAGTAAGAATTTCAGTCGAACAATAGTTGCAATTCCGGAAGACCTAGATAAAAAACACAGATACATTATTGATTTTGTTAAATTTTGCCATACATTAAAGATGCACTGCACTTAAAAATGAAATTTCTGACGTAAGTGGATACTCTTTGAAGAAACTTTACGATGTAGTTTGCAAGGACTGTATACCATACAGAGATATTGAAAGATTCCTCATCTTCCCATGCAAAGCACCTGACCCTCATAAGCCAGAAACAATTTGAACATTGTCGTCACGGTGGCTTGAAAAAGCCAGTTTTAAAGTTGTGAAATTTGTTGGTTTGTTTGAAGCTGTTGTTTTTTTCTAAACGCAATTTAACCCTTTGATGAACAGAGTAACAGAGCACACAGTAGACATAATCTAAAGCTGAAAATGCCCCAGGAGCCAAACGTAATTGAAAACAAAAGTGATTCCTGCAAATGCAACACAGTGGGCTATGAGTCAGTGTATTTATTAACGTCAGACACCACGATGATCTTTACTGCGAAGTCAAAAATTCGTGGCGTAACTTGTTCTCAAATAACACCTCTTTAACGGGTGAATCAATTTAACCAAAACTTTGCACAGTAGTGTGTATCAATTTATCTTAACGTTTTCATATTTTTCCACAACAATTGAGGCTAGCTTTTAAAACATATCTTCTTGAATTTATATAAAATACTAAAATGGGGCCAACTGGTCACCCCCACAGCTCGTGTTAGATCTATAGTGACACTGCGTGTGTTGTGTGAGCTCATTAAAGCGCAGAGCAACGCGCGCAGTCGCTGACCTCGACCAGACCTCGACTCCCGACGATGCACAAAGGCCGAAGGAGGATTGCACCGTCTCGGTATCATCAGAAACTCTTA